TGCTGGCTGGCTCGGGCTGCCAGCAAGATGAGGAGAAGGCGGTGGAGTTTTCCCTCCAGAGAAACTTGGGCAAGGACGAGGTTGCTTTGCCACCGATCGGGAGCTGGCTTCTGCCCCATCTCAGGGCACGCAGTTCTCCCCTGGAGACAATGCATGTGTCCTATAAAATCCTGCCCGGTGCAGCGTTAATACCTGCAAGCTCTAGTCCAGCTGGTTGTAGGTATCGCTTCCCGGTTGGGTTGTTACTCCAGAAGCGTTGAGAGCATTTGCACCAGCGGGACCGGACTCTGACGTCAGGCTGGAGAGGGGCATGGCCATCGGGCTGTGCTACAGTGTTGAGCCTCTCCAGGACTGCAAAGAGATGAAGAGCCCAGGCATCTCGGAGCCGAGGGAGACCCATTTCTAATGGAAAACACATCACCAGGTAAGGAGTTTCCTAGTTCTCTTTTGTAAAGGGAAAAATTATACCTAGGGCATTTCCATGCAGGGGATGTGTTTGGCGATTAGTTTGTTTCCTCTTATTATTTTAATACAGTCTTATGCTGAATACGTAAGAGCTGCACTTTCCAGCTCTGTTCTCTGCCAAACATTAAGCTTCTCATCACAATGTTTAAGAGGCAAAGGAGCAAAAATATTCTGCTTTTCTGGGTGCACGTGGATTTTGATTCTCGCCGCTGATGTGCTTTGGGTCTAGGCAAAGAGCCACAGGTGGAGCGCTGGGTCCTCCCAGCTAAGGATCCCTCCCTGCGCTCCCCCTCCTCCAGACTTGCTATCACCAATAAATGCTTCTAAAAATGCAATTTCACTTCTCTGTCTGAATTTAAAGGGTTGAACTTTGATACAGGGCAGGCTTAGAGCTCGTTTTCGCAAGTTGAGAGCAGGAAAAATTCCTGTTTCAAAACCTGTGTGTTAGGACGGGGTCAGTACAAACGTGACTTGTATTTATCAGGAGGTAAAGACGGGGCTGCCTAGGGGCCAGGGGCAGCTTTTTGTGTTTGCAATAACTGGCAAACAGGAGGCTATGGAGAGAGCACGCTCCCCTCTGCACTCCCCACGCGCTGGGATTAATCATTGGCGCTCGGAAAGCCGGCGGCTCCACTGGGAAGCACAAGATGCATCGCACGTTGCTTTCTTCGTAGTCGGTGTCGAGGGGTTCCTGTCAGCGCTCCTGAAGAGCAACTTGCTTTTCGGAGTTAGTCACGATATGCTTTGTTAAGTTTTTATTAGAGCAAAGAGGAGTCTGAGGAGGTGCCAAATAGGAAATCCCTGAGACGGTAAATA